CCGAATGTGGCGGTAACACTCATTTCCCTTTTAGACTTCCGCTGTATTTATTCAACTCTTTAATGAATGAATAAAGTATTTCTTTTAAATATATCAATGTTTTGGGCGGGAAATTTAGGGATGTTACAAAATGGTATCAGAGCTCAATACTTTGATATTTTGATATTTTGAAACCGGCACCTACCTGAAGACAAGTTTTAGAACTCGATAAAATATTTTTCCTCAAAAAAGTTTTCTCTATATTTTTCCCTTTCTTTAATTATTAAATTATACTAAGTATGTTAAATACTCCCTCCATCCCGTTGAAATGTTCCCGCTTTCCTTTTTTGGATGTCCCGTGTGAAAGTTCTCATTTCCCTAAATGCAAAGTTATCCTACATCAAAACAGGGTCAAACAGTGCAAAACAGTGTCAAACAGTGTCGAAACAGTACCAAACAGTGTCAAAACAATAAAATTTACCCCCTGGTAAGTTTATTTTCTTAATATGTGTGTAGGTCAAACCGAGAACATTCCAACGGGACGGAGGGAGTATTATTTTCTATGATTCAGAAAATTCAGTCAATTCAACGAGCCTGATCATAATTTCAACAAATTAAGTAAATTCAATTGGTTCAATCAATTTCCACAAATTAGTAAATTTCAAAGTCGATAATTCGGTGGATTTGTCTTGCGCACAGCTTGCGAGGTATGCGACCGACTTGGTCGATTCCATTATGCAGCAATTTATTTTCTAAGGCTAACCGCAACCTAGTCCGTCACTAAATCTAATTCCCCTCCAGTTTATATGTATTCACTGAGTCAATTCAATTTTTTTCTTCAACCCAGCACCGTCAATATATCCACTCAGCACATTTTTTATTATTAGATGCATAAATCCTTGGTTATTTTATTACACATCATTTATGTGTTAATTTTATTTTGACCAATAATTATTGTTTAAAACTCAAACATTCTGATGTAAAAAAAATAAAAAATGTGAATTAATTTTTTGTAAGTATTAAAAATGCGTACTTGAGTTCAATTTGAAATAAATTTAAAACTATTATTTGTTTTCTATATTTCTATATTATTAAGTTTTCATTTTATATACTATGTACTTGTTTAATATTTAATTTAAATCAATTGAAACACATTTTTTCAAATTAAAATACCAACAATCAATTACTAGAAACACACATAACATTCGATACGATAATTAAAAAAGAGGAAGAAATCCTAATACATTACAATTATGGGAAATGCTACAAATAGTAGTAGCATTATTCAAATATAAAGTAGAAGGAGAATTGATGATTGAGGTGTATTGAAAAGAAGGTAAGAGTGATCTTTATATAGTAATCTCAGTCTACTTTTTTAAGTCCCAGAAGTGCATGATAAATACCGCCAAAGCCTTATTAGGCAGAGGAAATTAAATGAAGGACTCCAGAAAAAAAAAACCAGAAAATAAAATAAAATATTTTACCCGTTGGATCTAATTTTCAGCCGTTGGATGTACCTTTTTTTTCTTTGCATGTGAATCAATAATGGCCGTCGGATCTAGCTACCAATTTGTTTTAAATTATTTCCCACTTGTGCAGACACCTTCAATGTCACCCACAAAACTCATAAAGTGGACCACTTTTTCCCTCCTACAAATGTCAATCCACTACTTTGGATGTCAGGCTCACCTTCTATGCGAGAGTCAATCAGCCGCATAGATACCCCTCCCCTCAGTTTTCTCTATTGGGGATGAGACCTCTATATACTAAAATACATCTGGGTTGCAACTGTTTTGGAGCGGAAACTTCATATTTGGGGTTTTCACGCATTGCAATCAGCCTAAGGGAGCAGAAAAAGGAGGTATCTAGATTTGACGGATGCGGAAAAACAGTGCTTAGTCCGTGGTGCGGAGGAAGGAATGAGGAACATGCAGTGGCAATAATTTGAAGGGGATTGGATAAAAATATTGGAATCTATGTAGAACGGAATACGTTTCCGTTTCGGAAACTCTACAGAAACTCTTTGGAAACTCTTCAAACAAACGTTTTTTGAATAAAAAATGACGTTTCATGTTTTCAGTTTCCTCATGATTTTCGCATTTTCGTGCAATATATATTGGAAGAGGACGGGCTTTATGCTCTAGGGCTCTCTGTGTAAGAGGCTTGTCTTGCTTTTTGAAAGGCGTGAGTCGTCATGTCTCGTAGATGTGTGTTTTGCTTTTTATAGGATATAAGTGTATATATGAGGTTAGTTTTGATAATGTAACTATGTAAGGACTAATTGAAACTTTATACTATCTATGTTCATAGCTGAGTAATACAATTCTTGTAAATGTGATGATCTATTTGTATAATCGTAGTTGTTAGGTTGTTATTTGTTTTTACCATCAAATTATTATACAGAGTAATACATAGTACTTCGTATAAGTTGTGTAGAAAAGAAAGTATAACTTTGTATTTTCTAGACTTGAAAACTACGGAGTAGTATCCTAGTAATACAAAAACTAAGGTTATTTCCTTTTGATATTTTCCGTTTTCTAATTCTTATTTTGTTCCGACAAACAATAAGGTTGGTAGGTTCGTAATTTGGTTGATTTTAGTTGCTAGCTTTCTGTTGGGAGGCAATCAGACTGACTCAGCTGTTAATAGCCCTGAAGCTCTCACATGTTAATCGATTAATCTTTGTTTTGAGTGGATTATTCTATGTCTGACGAGGAAGTGATCGAGGAGGTGATGCGCTTATGGTTAGTGTATGTTAGAGGGATGTAATTGTCAGATGGTTTTTATATTTTTTGAAAGTCTCCTGATTGTATCGTCGCTCAGTTACATACTGAGGGTTTGATTTAATATAATATGGTAGTTTTCCTTTAAAAAAAAGCCATCCATTCACTAATTACACTCGATGATATTAAGATGTTTTCACTTGAACGACTGTTTTCAGATTTAAATAGACTAGAGTTAAACAGTTATAAATACACAGGGACCAGACATCTATTGAACCAGTTCAACCAGACTTAACTAAATTTAAATATATCAGTCCAAATCAAACTAGATTAGAAATATCCGATCGAGATGATCATATGTTTTTCTTATATGAACACTATATTATACGGAGTACGTAGTAAGTTATAACTACCGTACACCCACCAAATTTTGTTCGCAACTTAGAAATTTGGGAGTAAGAAAATAGGATGGAAACATATAAGAACGGAAATAATTGAAAACAAACCTATGAAGTTTTTGCTTGAAGTATTTTAAATCCTAGATCAGATCAGACCAACAAATTTCAGTCCATGTAAAAATATTCTATTAGCTAAAACAAAGAATGAAGATGCTGATAATTAACATTTAATATGGAAAAGTTGCAATTTGAGTTTGTCAAAAAAATTCATCCATTGTCTCATTTATAACTTGTTGCTTCTAAAAAATTACAAAAAGCAACAACGTACGCCTTACAACATCCAAGCCTTATTCCCAAATGATTTGAGGAAAAAACTGGTTACTTCTCAAAATCTATCCTTTAGTAATTATTTCTAGTTGTTTTATAATCACTATGTTTTCTTATATTCTTGGTTTCTAAAATAGTTTTTGTCATCTTCAATTTTCACAAGGAAAAATAAAATTAAGAAAAAACAAGAAACAAATGAGATGTAAATTCTAATTATGCCAATATAAACAATTACTCCGAGATAATTATGCCAACATATAAACAAATGATATCTTCAATTTTCACAAGGACTACAACATATTATATATTATGTGATTTATATTCTAATTACAAGAAGAAAGAAATTAAATCAATATATTCTTTCTAACTATAGGAAGAAATCATATATTATGTGGTTTACAATTACAAGAAATAAATCAATTTTCATTTATTTTTGTATTTAAATTCTAATTAACTAAACTCACAATGCAAGCCAATATAAACAACTACAAAAATTTATATGGTATGTGATTTATCTTAATATGAGTATACAAATATAGTTGAGTATATTTGTATACATAAGTAGAGTATATTTGTATACATAAGTAACCAAATCAAATATGGATACTTTGAAGTTTTAAGTTCGAACTTGAAACAAGTGCAAATTCAAATCTAGTATTAAAATATCAAGTTCAAATCGATTTATTTGTACACTACAAAAAACAGTGTTTTTGTCACGCCTGTGACGTCACACAAAAATCTATGACAAAATCAGTGACAACATTTTTTGTCACAGATTTTTTATGCTACCGTCCGATGATTTTTTGTAGTGGTAACTCTATTTATTACCTTAGTTGATAGAGAGAAAATATTTTTGTATAGAAAATTGTATCTAAACTAATTAAGCCATCAAACAAATTTAGTAATTGTGCAAGCAAGTCACAAAATGTACAGGTACTTTTTCTGAATCACAAAAATTGAATACATCATATACGCTTACAAACTTTTGACTAGTTTAGATGCTATCAAGTTTGAATAGATTCCGCTAGACTAAATGAAATCAGAAAATTTTAATTCATGTACATATTCTGGATGTTTAACATGTTAAACATCCTGAAGGATATTTTTTTTTAAATGTGAAAAATTCTTAAACTTGTAAATTCCAATTAGTGGTAATGAATGGAGTAATATATTACCAAAACAGAATCTAATACTACGTTTATTTTAAGTTAATTATGTGTTAATGAATGCGCACTAGCTTAGGAAAAAGATCAAATGAAATGGAGGAAGAATATGATAAAGATAAACAAATGTAAATGCAAGTCCACTAAACCGTTCTTCCACTGAGAACATCATCGATCGTAAAATGAGATCGAGGAAAAATATGATAAGGTAAACAAATAGAAAATTATACACTAAACAGTTCTTCAACAGCTTTAAAAGCTAGTCAAATGTGGATTCCATTTTAGTAATATACTATCTAATACGGAGTAATGGAGTATAATGATTATTTCTTCTTATATTAAAAAATGTGAAATCCAAAACAACGCCATATAAATAGACGTTCGAATGGCTGGATATATGGAGCTAGCTATAAATAGTACAACAAATAACCCAAAATACTTGGTAGTTTTACGAGTACGATCTAGTGAAGTAAATATGCAACGACCTTTTTCGCAATTTGCTTTGGTTCTATTCGCCTTAATCTCCAGCCTTTTTATGGCTTCCAACGCCAGCGGACGAAAGATGAGTTTTTGGGAATCGCCTTCGTCCGCCGGCGGTGCATCAGGGATTACGCCGAGTGGTGGATTTGGCTCAGCCCACGGGCCTAGTGGGGACTATAATTGGGCCTGGGGCTCAAGCCCAGGAGCAGGGTGGGGTTACGGCTCGGGTTCAGGAAGATCTCCAAGCGGTGTTGGAGAAGGCTGGGGGTTTGGGTTTGGATCCGGCTCGGGTAACGGGTTCGGTTCTGGTAGCGGATCAGGGTACGGGTACGGATCAGGTGACGGTGAAAATGGTGGATATGGTAGCGGAGATGAAGGAGGTGTCAAAGGAAGCGGTCATGGTGGTAGCTCTTCAGATGACCTTGGTGGACGTTTATGATCTATTGATGACTTGTAATTAATTATGATCAAGTTTGAGATCATCTTTGAATCACGAACTTGATTTTATAGCTTTCAGTTCAAGCTCAAAACTTTGACATAAACAAGGACTAAACTTATACTCCGTACTACGTAATTCATTTCATTATTATTGAAAAGATAACATGGTTTCCTCAATGGATGACGTTAAAATTGAAAAGATATAGAACAAAGATGGAAAAATGTGAGCTTTTACATTTTTTAAAGATCCATTTTAGTAGCATGATTTCATTATGAGCTATGAAGAACCACTACTAGAGTGCAAGAAAACATCGGCGTTAATGCAAATGTAGAATACTCGCTCTGTCCACAAATGTTCTCTTTACTCTTTTAAGTTGTGAGCTATTCGAGTATAAAAGGTCATTGTAGAGCTAAGAGTGTAATCAGTAATTACTTGTTTGACTTGATTTTAATGTTTAATGGAAATTTAAAAGCTTTTATGAATTAGCTAAAGCATATTGAAAATACCCGAATGTTTTCTTCCTACTCTCTAAATGAAATGCGCTGTTTATTTTAACTCTACATTTCTAAATAAATCCCGAACACATAATGTCATCATTTAAAAAAATGTAAAGTTTTGGGGATGATAATTCACAAGTAAGGATCTTTCATAGAAGGTTAACACTTAACAGATAGCACTTTATAAGATCTTCATACAGTTTGAATATCAAAAGCAAAAGCAATTTCAATTAAACCCCCAACAAAGAAACTATAGCATTCGCTGAGCAATCAATGGATTCGCTAAACATAAGTTGGTAGAAATCAAAACCACAGGCTAGAGGTGCTATTAAATACGGAGCAAGAAATTAGGTTCTTTGAACAATTCCACTCAAACTGCAAGATTACAGGCCCTTTTTTAGCTTCTTCTAACTCCAGTTGAACTGAGAGTGAACAACTTAACAACAGTCCAGCTTTCAGAGCATTAACAGAATCAAATTATATGGGTTTGATTTTGAAGTGGAGGGAGATTAGAGAGAACACAAAGCACTTCAGATCCTGCAACAAATAGAATAACATAAGGTTAAAAGGAAATGAATTAAAGCATGTGTATATATGATGTTTCCAATTATACTAGAACTTCGAGAGCTGGTTTCATCTGATATGTTTAAGCCTATTATGATCTGAACTGCTCCGGTAAGGTCTGCTATTAGGTTTATTTTAATCTTAGTCTGGTCAATTTAAGTATGTTATATCTAGTCTGTTCAAGACTTCTAGTATGATCTAGTCATGTGAAATCAATCCAAGTGAAAACATCCTAATATTAAAATGCACTGTAAAAACCAATACGATTGAGAACTATTTGTATATATATTTGACTGAGATGAAGCTAAAAAAATCTAGGTGACTATCTTTATAACAAGTGAATAATGTTATTGTAACATTAACTTAAAGGTTAATGTTCAATATGCAGAATTGATATTCAAACACCAGGTCTTAATTTGTTAGTGATTATTCCGTATTATAGTAAACTATATGCATTTCATCATAACCTGGAATACAATAATATATCACCAGACCTGATAAATTGCATGAGGGGTTCTTTTATACTCCTTTAGGCGAAAATCATTCTTTTAAAGTTTGTATTAAAAATTTAAAACCATGTTACATATTGTTGATTTGACAAAGCAAATATAAAAATAAAATAAAAAACCAAGAACGCATAGAGAATGGAGAATCATATCTTTTCAAAACGTAGAACAAGCCAGCAAAACACAATTACAATGTATTGAGGAATATATTGAAGCTGTTAAAAACATCCATCATATAAAAATTGGTGAGCATTGCCTGTACATACAGTTGTACCATCATTATTTAAGTAACATGCAAAATTTTTGAGGGTCTGTTTTGATGGAGGGACTTGGAGGCAGTGGAGGACCTAAGGGGGGGCTAGGGGGCATGTGCCCCCGCTTCGAACCTGAAAATTCACTAGTAGCACTTAATGTAAAAACCAGTGCCCTGCTTCGGGCCCGGAGTTTTTATTGTAGACTGAGTTTAGTGTCTAGTGTGCCCCGCTCTCACAAATCTCTGGGTCCGCCGCTGCTTGGAGGGGTTTGAAGGGTACACCTTTGAGGGGCTTAGTCTGTATTCTGATATCTGTTTAAGATTTTATAAGAATTTAAAGATCCCTATGAATTCTTCCGCTCTAAAAACCTCCATCCAAACTGAACCTAAATCCCTAGTGTTTTACCTGAACAAGATAATAAAATATGCGAAGGCCTTCTGGATCTTTACTGGTCTGCACGTCCATTAGAGAGCCAATCTTAGAGGTGGTAAAACATATGTGCTCATTCTCCAACACAATCTCAAGCTCCTGCCTCCCCACACGGTCAGGTTCAGGCCAGTTGCTGTCATCTTCTTTCATAATCTATAATAAATACATCCATGGGACTAGTCATTCTATACAAGCACGTAAAGTACATCACGAACAGACAATGCATTTTACTAAGCAGAAACAGTTTAAATAAGCACTCTCAACTAAGAGACAGCCAAGAGCTCAGTTTGAAGAACAGGTTCAATTCCACATTTTCACATTCCATGTAGACTCAAATCGAAAGTAAAGTGATTGAGTCAGTATTTCCTACTGAAATTCTACATTCCAATTTTTCAATTCCACAAAGAAAAATGATTATTTTTTACAACTGAAATTAAAGAGACAGTATTTGCTGGCATCATGCATCATTAATATAGGGGGTGTTTGGATCCGATTCTTAAAACTGCTTCTGCTCCTTCAGGGAGCAGAAGCAGAAGTTGGAGTGTTTGGGTGAAAATACAGAAGTGATTCTGGAGAAGAAGCATAAGTTGGAGTGTTTGGGTGAAAATACAGAAGTGATTCTGGTGCTCTAATTTACTCATAGAATCAGTTTTTTTAGAAGTTGGGGTACCAGTTTTTTTAGAACTGATTCTGATTCTGCTTCTGCTTTAAAAAAGAAACAGAAGCAGAATCAGTTCCAAACACCCCCCTAATTCAACAGCAACATGGATCTTTATAGATTCGTCAGCACGAAGCAAACAATCTGAGTTGAACTTGACCATGTTCAAGAATTGGTTGTTTATTTAGGATATTGAAGCTATGGCAACACAAAAGAGTATAAACCCGAAAACAAGAGTTAACCCTAGAAATTGAATCGAGCTACAGAGTGAGAGTGAGAGTGTGTTTGGTGGGTGGACGAATACCTCGCTTTCGGAGACGATTCGGCGGCATTCTTTAAGGACGGCGGGTGTGAGGAAGACCTCCTTACGGATCATGGTGTCGTTCTTGTAGTTGGAGTTGTTGGCGTAACGGAGCTTGCCGTCGGGCCGGAACTCAAACTCCAGGAACTCGTGCCCAAACTTGCCTTTGTGACCGACGTAGTACCTCAGGTAGAAATTATCGTTCTCGTCCAGCCCCGCCATCTGTCTATCTGCCAATCCAGAAAGCACTCGCTGAAGTTGAGAATCGAGGGTTGTATTAGACGACGACGACCCGGAAACGTATTTATCCCGCCAGTCAGTCGAAAAATGAATCACGTTGATAAATAGGGCTGCACCCGGGCACTCGGTCCGGTCCTTTTTTTTAACGAGAAACATAAACATTTGATCAGGTTGCTTGCTATGGATATGTTTGGCACAACTAGTTCAGAAATACTTTTGTGACCGTTTTTTTAACTTTTAATTTTTTGTGACTGAAAATATCTTAAAAAGAAGGGTGGTAGATGTTGGTATAAAGCTGACTGTTTGATTTAGTTCTATTTGCTATACAAGCTGTTATAACCAATTAATACTAAAAGTCACAGACTTTTCCCAGATGCTACTCCCTGTAGCATCTCAAAAAACATATTTTATTTTTTGAAAAGCTTTTAAAAATAGTCATGTCAAACATACAACCAGAAACTTTTAGAGTCTTTTTAAATATTACAAAAGATACAAGACAAAGACTTATGTCCGTCAAACATGAACTATATCTTTATCCAACTTTACATTTACTTGTCCCATTAAGTTCATCACATAATCCCTTTGTAAGCTCACATTTTTTAAATGACAAATTAATCATTAACTATAAAAAATAATACATATATAATATACGTAGTAACAGTTATCAACATTAACATCATTATATTATTGATGGATAGTGTACCCGGGGGTAGCTTATCCGAGGGGTTATTACGGGGAATAACTAGAGAGAAGTCAGAGCAAATGAGTAGAGAGAGAGTGTGTATTAGAAAGTATTCAGTGTTTTCAGCGTGTTGTGTCTTGGTTACATATGGGGAAATGGGGTGCTATTTATAGCAGCAATAAATGCCAGACAGGGACACGTGTCAAGCACCCATTGGCCGAGGGGTCGCCTCAACTGGTTGGCGATGGCAACCGCATGTGGCCGCATTTAATGCGGCTGTTGGATGTGACGTCGTACTGGGTACGGTGATCTACACGCATGTGGAGCGGATATTATGTCGGAAAAGGTGCCCTCGGCTGTAGGTGATTAGCCGAGGGCTCTGAGTGTCGGGGACCCCCTTAGTGCCGAGGGCTCTACATGCCGAGGGCTACTGGTTTTTGCTGTTTTCTCCCAGTAACCTCGTCTTCCTGTTTTGGCCCTTCTGTGAGGTTCAGAGCCTTCGGCCAGGCCGCCGAAGGCACCCCTGGTGCGCATTGTGGGCTGCTTGGTACCCTGGGCGCCATGATTTGGGCCTGTTGTGCTTCCTGGGCCTATTGGGCCTTTATTGGAGTAGTAGGAGTCTGTGGGCCGGGGGTTCCCGGGCCATATACTCCATCAGGAGTCCCTCACTCCTTTTGGTGAAAGGTACTTGAGGGAAAAGGAGTAATTATGTTTGTCCTCTGCCGTCGTTCCGTTGTGGTTTGTAGAGTTGTGGGTAGTTTGCCGTTTGTTTACTCTGCCGAGGGCAGTCCCTCAGTTACCCACATGTCGGGACTTGAGGGGGCATGTTTGTGATTTTTGTGATTTTCCCGAGGGGGTCCTCCAGTCCCCCACTCCTTGAGGCACTTGCAAAGTGGTGAAAAGGAGTAGAGTAATCATGTTGTTGCTTTGGGCCGAAGGCTGATGCTTTTCGTTTCATTTTGGGGGGTGCCTCGTTAAAAACCTCATTAGGAAAAACCCTGTGGGAAAAAATCCTAATGAGGGAAAAAGAGTGTACTGAATTCCCCCAATGATGAATCGAAAACGTGAAGCCCTGGTTCGAAATGGAGTACAATGCTGATGCCGAAGGCTATCCTTGTTCTGAGGGCGCCTGTGTTGATTAGCCGGAGGCGTGCTGTTGATATCCTGGGAGGTGCCGAAGGGGAGTCCCTCAATCTGGGGATCGAGGGCGTGATGAATGTGAGTAGTAGCTGAAGTGTTACCGGGGTGTCCCCTGTTTGTTGATTAGTTGGTGAGGTGGGTATCCGAGGGCTACCAGTACCTGCGTGCCGTAGGCTATCTGTCAATGAGGCGTACTCCCCGGGGGCTACCTGGTCCTCAAAGTGCTGAGGGGGGATCCCCGAGGGGTGTGCCTGTTGTGAAGCCGTGGGCTTCTGAGGGGGTGAGCCCGAAGGCATTTGTTATGTAGTGTGTGGGCACAAACCGGGAGCGTCTCTGGGTAAGTGTACCCGGGGGCTCTTCTTGATGAAGTGGCGTGAAGCAAAAAGCCCAGGGGCTAGTTCCTTGGTTGATGAAGGAGTGAGCTGCTAAATGTAGCCGGAGGCTTCCAGAATATAGCCGTTGAGAACATAGTCGTTGGAATATCTAACGCCACTATATAGCCGTTGAGGGGGCACACACGTGGCGCGCGACGGTTGGCTGCCCGCGGGCGGCGTTACCGGTTGGGCGAAACCACAGTTTGTAATGATGACTTGGTGACCGGAGGCCCGGTTTTTGGGCCCAAGCCCGGATCTGGGCGCCTATAAATACCCCATGGCCGGGCATCATCCCTCTTGTGCGATCATTTGTTAGCGAAGCTCTGCCCAAATTTCTAGAGAGAGAGAATCCAGCCTTCGGTCGAATCCCCAGCTTTCAAGGTCAGTTCTTGCCCAGCTTTCGGTCATTCTCGCATACTTTCCTTCCTTCTCACCTTTCGGCCTTAGATTAAGTGCCCGTAGCTTAGAGCTTTTAGGACCTCCCTTCGACCCTTGATTTAGTAGAAATGTCCTCGCAAAGTGATTCCCAAGATATTTCGGGGGAGCCTTCGGTTGAGATGGAGACGTGCTCCGACGTCGAGTCTTCGAGCGGGGAGTCTTCGGTGGGTGATGACGCTGCAGTGGCCATGGAGTTGGAGAAGGACCTCCGGGCCGAAGTCGAAGCCGAAGACTTCGAGCAGGTGAATGAGGACGAAGAGCTCGCCCTTGCCGTGCAGACTGCTGAAGAGGAAGAGGAGAGGGAGAGGATGAAGGTGACGGTTGATGTCTTTCCCCCTCGTGGCGCCGGGGAATCCAGTTCCTGCCGGCCCTTGAACTCGACGCCCATCAGTGTGGCTCCCGGGAAAAAGAAGAAGATGAGGGCAGCCCCGAAGAAGAAACAAGCGGCCGTTGATGTCGGGCGGCCGGTAGGCATACCCGAGGGCCACTCATTCCTGAACACCGCTGCCCTAGAGCTGAAGACGAGGGCGTCCCCGACAGAGTACCAGGCCGCTCAGATCCTGGTTGGCCCTTCGGCGCGCGTGGTGGAGCCCGGGGCAGATGACTTGTTGCGATATGCGCCCGAAGGGTGCTTTGCTGTTCACACCCTGTCGGTGGAGACGGGGCTTCGCTTTCCGCTCCACCCCTTCCTGCTGGAATATCTGAGATTCGTGGGGTTGGCCCCCTGCCATCTAACGCCCAACAGCCACTCTTATGTGGCCGACTTCCTCTCCCTGTGCCGGAGCCGGGGGGTTCCACCTACCCTCGACCAGTTCTTTATGTCCTTCAACCTCTGCCGGGGGGGGGGGGGGGGGGGGGGGGACATTCAAACGCTGAGGGCTTTGCCAACCTTCAGCAGGTGCCGGAGTTTAGGCTCTTCGACGACGTCCCTTCGTCCCACAAGGGTTGGAAGGAGCGGTTTTGCTACATACGTTTGGAGGAGAACCCCTTCCCGGCTCACCTCCGCAACAGCTTCCGGCGCCACCCGAAGGTAGGGAGCGCGGTCCTGGAGAAGAATGGCAGAATACTTGCCAAAAACCGGAGGGGTCCGATAAGCATGTTAAGATCAAGTACGTCACTCTCCCTGAAGAACTATACAGTCTTGGCTTCCGGCAGTTCAGGCCGAGGGGTTCATCGGATGAAAGATACCCTCCCCTCGATCGTGTCTTCGAAGGAGCCGGAGGTGATTATCGAAGGGTTTATCTGCAACTTGATAGTTTCCTTCATATATATTATTTTTTTTACTATATGCCATTGTACCTGACAGCCTTCGGTTTAACCATTTTGTGTCTTGTTCTTGCAGGTAACACCATGGACGTCAGCTCCCTCTTCGCTTTGAAGAATGCCAAAGGGAAGAAGAAGGGCCCAGCGGGCACTTCTGCCAGGGAGGAGCCCTCCCAAGCTGTTGCTGCCGGTGCTGGCGCCGGGGGGTGCAGAGGTGCTGGGCCCGTGAAGAAGAAAAACAATGACAAGGGGACCGAGCCCCAGGCCAAGAAGATAAAAGCCGCCGCCCCCGCCAAGTAGCCGACCACTGATGTGGTTGTTATTGTGGATGAAGGGCACGCCTCTGCCCCCACCTCCCAGGAGCACATAAACCAAGAATTCTTCGGGCGGGAGAAGCTGGAGGCGATAGTGCCGAAGGGGGCTTCAGTGCTGGAGGGTAGCCTGAACCCCTCGGCGCTGATGAGCCAGATGCTGCCCTCGGCTGATCGCCTGGCCCTCGCCAGACTGGACGAGAGCTCCCTCGAGGCCAAGATCCTTCTGAACACTGCCTCTGTAAGTCACGCCTATCTTTTTCTTCTGTGTTTGTTGTTGTTCTTTTGTACTGTGTTTATCATATCTAACTTTCGCCCTTGTGGATTGTAGAGCTTCATGGGCCTCTGTGAGCACCTCCGGAGGGTGGAGCAAATGAAGGAGGCGAAAGGCGCAGCCGAAGGGGAGGCTGCCCTCCTTAGGAAGAAGCTCACCGAGGCCGAGGATTCTCTCCGCCTGGCCACCGACAGCATGGAGCAGCGGGTACAAGCTGCGAGGGCCGAGGGGGTGAATGAGGGCCTGGCTAAGGCCGGGGAGGCTGCTGCCGAGGCCGCTCGCATCGCTGCTGAGGAAGCCCGCGTGGCTCAAGAAGAGGCCGTCTCCAAGGCCCGGGAGGATGCTGTGGCCGGCTTTACTGCCGAGGGGTGGAAAGCTGAGGATCAGAAGGAGTGGCTCTCCTCAGTGGTGGGGGCTTCGGTGGATGACTGGGTTGGAGGCCCCGGCAAGATGTGGCTTGCTGAGAAGGGCGACTCCTATTACCAAGGCGGGAAGTTTTTTACCCAGTGCCTCATATACCGGAAGCTCGCGAGACACTTCAAGCTCTCGCCGAAGGAGTTCCAGCCCGAGGCTTATGGCCTCCCCCCTCGACAGCCAGACGTCAGGATCTCGCTCCCCGAAGGCGAAGAGAGGTCGGTGCTTGAAGATTCGGAGACTCTGAGGGAGTGCGGC